ATATGAAAGCTGAATGTTTGGGAAATCCAGCAAGCAAGTATATGAAATGGAGGGGATGCGGAGAGGCGCCAAATGATTACATACTTTTGAGGGAGGCGTGTTAACATGAAGTTTGGAAACCACTGCAATAAATAATTGCATTTAGGTGATTAAATTGTTTTCGTGTGTTTTATCAACGAAAGCCTTTTGACGTTTAATTAATATGAAATATTTTTCCAGTGCCATTAAGAGTTGATATTGCATCAAAAATATCTAATATCTAATTGTGTTTTATAATATTCAAGAACTGTAAAGGTTATAGAAATTAGATAACAAAAAAAATGTAAACATAAAATTCGCGTTCTTTTATATATATAATTGTTTGTATCTTATATGATATACATTTCTCAAAATTAATTACAATGCACGCATTAAAACTTGAATTCCTTGTATTTTTTTGTTTGTTTCGTATCCATGTTTTGTTGTCGCTTCCTTTTACTCTGCAAAAGCAAATACGTTAATATAAAAGATGAAATATAGAGTGTTATGAATTACCTTCTGCTTGGCAACATGTTCCGCTAACATATCGCTAAGATCTTCTTTCTGCAACTGCGATTGATTTTCTCTGATCTGTTGCTCATATCGTACGGCCATTGCATCACTGTCCATGTCCAATTCAGATGGATCCAAAGCCAATTCGACCATTCCTTCCCTTTCAGGAGGTGCTGCTGTCCCAGCACCGCGTCTTGCCGATATAACAGCAGGCGGCGGTGCACCAACCCCTGTCATATCGTACACATGATTGCTGCCCATCATCGACGTGCCGATACGTTCATTTCTCTTTTCAGGTATCACATGGTATAGAGCTGGTGTATCTCCACTGAAATATTAGAATTATTAATATTTTATATATAATAGAATATTGAACAAATGATATTACCCTTCCATTTCCGCTTCGATTTTCTTTTTTCTCAACTCTATCGTTTCTGGAGTTTCCATGCCAGCTGGAATTGAGGACAACCCACTGGGAGTTACCAATCCTTCGGCAGGTGTTACAAGACCGCTTTCATCTGGTTCTTTCTGTTCCTCTTGCTCTTCCTCTTCTTCGCTCTCTTCTTCCGACTCCGATTCCAGTTCACCCCACATATTACGTTCTACAGTAGCATCATCTCCAATATCCTAAAGTTGAACAATATAATTAACTTATTATATAAATCATAAATTCTTATACTCACATCTACATTGTTGATGGCAGTTCCAAATACATCGCCGTACAAAGGTTTACCATTTTCATCGACTGGCGGTTTGCCCCAACCACCAGCGTGATAACCGAAAGTACAACCCTCTGGAATAGGTGCATTAAGACCGGGAATCTTCAAGTTAGGATAACTCGGTTGAGGACCGTAACGTTGCATTGCAATGAGCCATGGAGGCGGCACCTTATGGGCATTTGGTCCGACGGGCATACCGAGAGCAGTTCTCAATTCTTCCGACAAATCTCCAGGTTTTTTCTCCTTCAATCTAGTCTCGAACTCTTTTCCTTCATAGTACAAATCACCATGAATTGTCATTTTAGGTTTTGTCTGCCACCTGCAAAATAAAAGTTAAAATATAATAAATCATCAAATAAATTTACCCAAAAACGAACTTACTTGAAAAATGCGTCATGTAATTTTTGGTAATCGATATCGATTTTACCCAACTTGGGCCTCGCTCTTTCGCGCATTTTCGCTTTTAGCGTTTTTGATTCATCTTTATCTTGCAGCGAGGCACGCATTTCCATAATACCAGTCCTCTTAATAAAATCAGGCAAGTTGAATGGCGGTTTTTCTATACCCCTTTTCCCTTGCAGATATTTCCGTTTGAAGCACCAGTGTCTGGGCACCTACAAAATAATTGTATTAGGTAACAACAAATTGGTTCATTATTCATTCGCAACTTACCTGCACAGTGTTTCTGTGCGCTTTCAGCTGCACTAAAAGTTTTGGGTCACGGGCAGTCACATCATGCATTTCTACAACATCTGGTCTATTCACTAATTGTTTCAACTCGGCCACACTGAGTCTCGTTAATTTTTTCAATTTCCTTTTTGACAATTTACTCTTGTCTTCAAGCTTTTTGTCGTCCCCTTCTTCCATTTCATCCTGGAACTGATCACCCATTGCCAAAATGGGTGTTTTCGTGGATAGTGATGTTGGAATTGCTAACATGGGTGGAGGAATATCAGGTTTTTGATCAGATATTTTGAAGGCTTCAAAAATTTGATAGAACAATCTATACTGAGGTGCTAATTCATGTAATCCTAAAGTTTCCTGGATGTACTCAACCTCGACATCTTCTTCAACCTTTTTTTTCTCCTCACCTTCTTCCTTCTCTTTATCTTCGTTTTCCTTTGCGATCAACCTTTTATTCTTCTTTCTCTTCTTCTTTTTCTTATTCCTACTAATTTTAGGATCTTTACTTTTATTAGAATTCTGAAGTGGCTCATTATCTGGGATAGCTTCTACAATTTCTTCAATTTCCGTTTTATCTTGTTCTTCTTGTGCAATTTCACTGGATTGCTGATCAGAGGAAATCTCTTCCACTCCTAATTCTTCAACTCTCTGATCTTTCAAAGCTAGCACATCTTCTAAAACTTGTGGTAAAACAACTTCAATTCCTTCTGCATTTTCTGCATCCTCTGAACCTTCAGCATCATCATTTCCACTAACATCAAGATCATGATTTTCTGAACCATAACCCTCTTGACTTACTGGATACGTAGGTATCATTTGGAAAGGCATATCTAGTATCGGTGGTGGTAATTGATGGGTATCTATGAATGGGGGTGGTTCCATCATCATGAGAGGTGGATTTATCTATGAAAACAATATAAATTATAGAAAAAATATATATAAAATATAAATAAAAATTACAATTCTTAATAAAAACATAACCTATAATTTAATAAATACCTCTCGATTTTCGTGATCCTCCATGATTAGGATAACTTATTTACTACAAGAAACAACTCGTGCAAACTGTTCACAATTTCTATTAGTTCGATTATATTTCATAAACTTTTTAAACAAATTGCCTCATTATAAATATTGCCCGCTTTTCACATTTGTTAACAAACCAAACGAAACAAAACCAAACGTTAAAATCATGAATACCAACCAACAGTACAAATATAAAAGGTTGGCACCAGTTGGCACTTATACCTATTATTGATTTGCAACCCCCAATGCACCCACGATCTTTGATCGATGAGTGAGTTGGATAACCAGAATTGCTTTACTTCTTAGGTACAATGCTACCAACCTTTGAATGTATTATGTAAATGTGGCTATGATACGAATTGGAATTGGTACAAATGGTTGCAGTCGTTGCAGTGGGTTGCAGCAGCATATATAGCTAAGTTTGTGTAACAACAAACTGTACATAATATCGTTTGTAGGTTAAGTTTAGTTAATTTCAAAGTATTATTCTACTGAGAGCAGCAGTTCTAGTTTCGATTTGTGCAAAGTTTTGTGGCAGTCACAATGACGGAAGACCGTTTACATATAGTGAGTGGAAAATACTTTGAATTTGCATGAAAAGTAATGATAACTTTGCTGCTGTGTATTTTAGGATTGGGGCAATGATAAACTTTTCAGGACGCAAAGGCTGGTAGAGAAGAACTCTTACGATTTAGAGTCATGGAGTATTTTACTACGCGAATCTCAGACAAAACATATATCAGAAGTAAGATGTTTGTACGAACATTTAGTTGGTGTCTTTCCAAGTGCCTGTCGTTACTGGAAAATCTACATTGAACATGAGGTAACTCAGCACAAGTAAACAATTAGTTTGTTTTACCATTAAATTATTGTTTTGTTGCAGATGAAATCGCGAAATTTTGAAAAAGTAGAAAAGGTAAATATTTTTAATTTTTTTTACTAAAATTAGGTTAATTATAATATTACTCATTGTTTCTGTGGTAGCAAATAAGTCATTGAACTTTTTTATATTTCATTTCATTAAATATATATTATTTTGTAGCTATTTCAAAGATGCTTAATGAAAATTTTAAATATCGAGTTATGGAAATTATATTTGACTTATGTAAAAGAAACGAAAGCCTCTTTGCCGACATACAAGTGAGTAAATGGGCATGGATTTTGGATAATTGCGTTATTAATGTTCATTACTTTGACAGGGAAAAAATGGCGCAGGCATACGATTTCGCTTTGGATAAAATCGGAATGGACATTCATTCCTATGTGATTTGGAATGATTATGTTAATTTTTTAAAGAGCGTTGACGCGGTGGGATCGTACGCTGAAAATCAGAAAATCTCCGCGGTTCGCAAGGTATATCAGAGGGGTGTCATCAATCCGATGGTGGGAATGGAATCATTTTGGAAAGATTACATAACGTTCGAGCAAGCTATAAATCCGATAATTGCGGAAAAGATGTCGATTGAAAGAAGTAGAGATTACATGAATGCAAGACGAGTGGCTAAGGAATTGGAAGTACAGATCCGAGGGATTAATAGAAATGCTCCGAGTGTTCCGCCGAACGGTACCTCGGACGAGGTGAAGCAAGTGGAGCTGTGGCAAAAGTATATAGCGTGGGAACGAGGAAATCCCTTACGCACCGAAGACACTGCCCTATTGACAAGGAGGGTTGTGTTTGCTCTCGAGCAATGTTTACTATGTTTGGGTCACCATGCCGACATTTGGTATCAAGCCGCCCAGTTTCTTGAATACAGTTGCAAAGTGCTTCAAGAGAAGGGCGACGTGACTGCTGCGAAGTTGTTCAGCGAGGAGGCAGCAAACATGTTCGAAAGGGCGACCAGCACTCTTCTGAATAAGAATATTTTATTGTACTTTGCGTATGCTGACTACGAAGAAGGCCGATTGAAGTACGACAAGGTCCATCAAATTTATCAAAAATATTTGGACATCATGGACATTGATCCTACGCTTGCGTACGTCCAGTACATGAAGTTTGCGAGACGAGCGGAAGGCATAAAGTCGGCGAGGAACGTATTTAAACGAGCTCGAGAGGATCAGCGATCAAAGTATCACATCTTCGTGTGTGCTGCACTAATGGAGTATTACTGCAGCAAAGACAAGAATATAGCTTTCAGAATATTCGAGCTAGGTCTGAAAAAGTTCGGTGATAATCCCGATTACATTTCCTGCTACATAGACTATCTGAGTCATCTGAACGAAGATAATAACACGAGAGTGTTGTTCGAGCGCGTCTTGAGTTCCGGGAGTCTAGAGCCGGAGAAATCGGTGGACATTTGGAACAAGTTTCTGGAGTTCGAGAGTAACATTGGAGACTTGCAGAGCATTGTGAAAGTGGAGAAAAGGAGATCGGAGGTCCTGTCAAAGATCAAGGAGTTCGAGGGCAAGGAAACGGCACAGTTAGTCGATAGATACAAGTTCTTGGATCTATATCCTTGCACTCCTCAGGAGCTGAAGAGTATTGGTTACACGGAAGTGATCAACGTTACGGGAGCAGCGAAAAATCTGTTGCACGGTGTGCTCATGAATACCGACGATGATTCGGTATTGCCCAAGCCGGATTTGGCCCAGTTGATTCCCTACAAGCCAAAGTTCAATCCATCACCAGGTGACCATCCAGTTCCTGGAGGAGTATTCCCGCAACCGCCGGCAGTTGCGCAACTGTGCACAATTCTACCACCGCCATCCTGTTTCCGGGGACCGTTTGTTATCGTTGACCAACTGATCGAGATATTCAATAGGATCCAGTTACCCGACTCTGCGCCCATCCCATCGGAGAACGGTGGCACCGAGAACGTCCGATTGTTTGATTTGGCCAAGTCCGTTCATTGGATAGTCGAGGAGAGCGGAGGTGGAGCCACCGGAACGAAGCGCAGGAAGCGGATTGGTTTAGCCATGGATGGTTCGGATGACGAAGACGCCCCACTGCCGCCTACAAACGACATATACAGACAAAGGCAACAGAAAAGAGTTAAATAATTATATTAAAAAAAAAGACTGATTAAACCGTGCTTATTATTATTTTTTTTTTTTAATAAACTATTTTAAGTTTTCCTCTTCTGTATGTAAAAATAGTGTCCAAAAATAAATATTATTATTATGATATGTGCAAGATTATTTAATAATAACGTGGACCGAAGAGTTTGCGTTTAGATAAAACCTTGTCCAGCTGCGCTATGTGGTGCAGAAATCCTTCGTTCGGAAAAACCCGCCTTCTCCTGAAGACGAACTGTAGAGCCTCGGCGGCGCTCATACCGCGACAGATCATCAGATACGCAATGACGATTGTTGCGGATCTGGAGATCCCCACTACGCAATGGATGAGCACCCTACCACCGCCTCGGATGGCGGCGTCGATGAATCTGGCTGCGCTTTCGAAATAAACCGAAATATTCCAAGACGGCCTATCGTGTCCCGGTATTCCGAAGTAGTGAATCTTCGCGTCTCGATAGTACGCCTCGCTCGTGTTCACCTGGTACTCGTCGGAACCTTCCGCGCAGTTCAAAACGTGCGTTATACCGTTCTTCACCAGAAATCGTTTATCCTTAGCCGCGTATCTGCAAGCAATGCATTTCAAACAATTCAAATATAACTCAATCGAAAATCTTCTCTCTAATAGTCTTACTTGTCACCTAGGTAAAGTCCGATGTCGATTTTGTTTATGGAGTGTAGATCCGAAACGCAAGTGGAATGCTCGGAGCTGAAGCCACGCGTATTGTTCATGTGGCTCAAAAGCCTATCCAAATACGTTCCAGTTATTTCGTTCTCCTGCCTAGGCCTGAGCGTGCCCTACAAATCATCCAACAGTGCAGTTAATTAATGAAGAAACAATGCAGCTTATAGCAAACACTTACACTGTAGACCTGTTCGCGCCACATTTTATTGTCAATTGCAAAAATTGGAACCTCTCGGGAACGCTTTTTATATAAATAGATTTACTCGGCCATGAGCCAAATCGATTTCCCTATTACTCAATTACCAAATGTATTCAATTCAATTCCACCGCTCGCAAATCATCTACTAAAATAGATAATTGACTAACTGCAACAACATTCGTAACATTATCCATCCACAACACTAATTACAATTCCAAATCCTCATTTTGCTTGTTTAGACAACCAAAGCGAACGTAATTGAAATCCTTTTGGAATTTGACTCTACCGTGTTCGTGCCAATTATCTATTTCATTCAATTCACACGTTGTATAATATATAAGTTATACATATTTATTTGCGTAATGTTTAAATTTTCAAATTCAAACGTAATAGCGGGATATTTAAATACTTAACCAAGAAATAGAGAAGCGAATTGTCAATACCAGTCAAAACACACCCAATTATTATAAATTGATGTAAAACCAAAGAAAAATGCTTTTTGTATTATTAATGATACTAGCGTTGTCTTGCAACGTGCAAGGCGATGAACGCTATTCAAAAGTAAGTGTAGTAGTTTATATGTATTATTGAATATTTATTGTAATTGTTATGCAGGAGTTTCAAGAGTTTGCTGCAAGATCGAAAAACCACACGAACAACTGGGCAGTTCTGGTGGACACCTCTCGTTTTTGGTTCAACTACAGGCATGTAGCAAACGTGTTATCAATCTATCGCAGTGTCAAGAGATTGGGAATCCCAGACAGTCAAATCATCCTAATGATTGCTGACGATATGGCTTGCAATCCAAGAAATCCAAGACCTGCAACCGTATTCAACAATGCAAATCAACACATCAATGTTTACGGAGATGATGTTGAGGTAGATTACAGAGGCTACGAGGTGACTGTGGAGAATTTCGTTCGCTTATTGACTGGCAGATTGCAACCCGGAACACCGAGATCCAAACAGTTGCTCACAGATGAAGGCAGCAATATTTTGATTTATCTGACCGGTCATGGTGGAGATGGTTTCCTGAAGTTTCAGGACTCTGAGGAGATCACCAGTCAGGAGATGGCTGATGCTTTGGAGCAAATGTGGCAAAAGCAAAGGTGATTGAATCAAAATAATTAGAATTAAAATGTTATAATCATAAACGTTTGCAGATACCACGAGATATTCTTCATGATCGATACTTGTCAGGCGGCCTCAATGTATGAGAGGTTTTATTCGCCAAACATTTTGGCTGTGGGAAGTAGTCTGGTTGGAGAAGATTCATTATCTGTAAATATTAATTTATCGATCCACAAGTAATTTATTAATGGCAATTCGTTTTAGCATCATGTCGATTCTTCTATCGGCGTTTACATTATCGATCGGTACACGTATTATGCGCTGGAATTCTTGGAAAACGTGACTCCAAATAGCACGAAAAGCATGGGAGAATTTGTAAGCGAATAATCAATTATTATTAATTCTTAATCTCAATATTATGTTATTTTTAGTTGACTGTATGTCCTAAGAGGGTGTGTATTTCTACTGTTGGAATACGTAAAGATCTGTTCCGCAGAGATCCATACTCGGTCCCGATCACCGATTTCTTTGGATCTGTGAGACCGGTGAAGGTGATTTCTGGAGATCTGGATGAGGACATCGTTATTGTGAAGGACGAAACTGTTAGAACTGTGAAGACTGGACGTTACAGATATGTTCCTCCTTTGGTGATATCATGAGATACATGTGATAAATTAACTAAATGATGTAATCCATATAGGATCATTTGTAATTGAAAAAAATAATTAGTTGATTAAAGGATCAGTTCGAATTAGGATTAGATTATAGTATCCCAGTTGAAACTCACACGCATTACCGTTTGGTGTTCTATAAGTTGCCAACATCCAATTCTAATGGAAATTTGTAATATTATAAACTTGATACAATTAATTGAAAATTTCTTTAGTTTTAGAAACATGATTGTTTTACACAAAATTAAAATAAATAATAATAATTTTTGAACATAGATTATTAACAGTAAATTATCATAATTTGATTAGCACTATACGTGAATGAAGATGGATGATAATTATCTAAAAAGACTAATTTCAGGTGTATTTTAATATATTTTTTTCATGTATTGATGATGCACCCATGAACCTATTGAGACCTTTGGGTTTTTTCCAATACGGGACAACTTCATGGTACTCTTTTCGGGTACGCCTACTGCCAGCTTGTCATATTATCGACCAATGGTAGCGTTCCCAGTAGGGTGCTAACCTATTCTGTGTGCGTGTCATGTTTGTTGCTGTCAAGTTGATGAAATGCAGCAAGCCGGCACGAAAAAGTCTTCTGCAGCCCCTGCAGAGGGGAAAATCAGCAACAGTAGCAAAGCTGGAATCGCGAGTTTGATCGTTTTCGTGATCCTCTTGTTAGCATGGATCGCCGGCTTTTCGTCACGTCTCTTCGCCGTCATACGGTTCGAGAGTATAATTCACGAGTTCGACCCATGGTAAGTAAACAACATTCGATGGAATCGTTGCATCACTGCTTCCAGAAATCCCATTAGAATCTATATTATTGAAATCCCTAATTTGCATATGGCCCCATGTAGATGTCTTCTTGGTGCTCTTTGTTAGGTGCATCATACTGGAATGACAGGTCACATAAATTACCTGTTCATTTGTTTGAATTCTATCTTTGATCCATTTGATAATTGCATAATAACATTAATTGTTTATTTGTTTACTTATCTAGACTTGCTAGATTCAGACTGTGTTATCTTTTTTTAATAAGTTATGTCAATATTCCCACTGCATACAGTTCTATCAATGATGAACAACCGCATAAATTGTGTGTGTATACTATTTCAGGTTCAACTATCGCGCAACAGCGTACATGGTGAAACATGGCTTCTACAACTTCCTGAACTGGTTCGATGAGCGTGCCTGGTACCCGCTTGGACGTATTGTTGGTGGTACTGTCTACCCAGGTTTGATGATAACCTCTGGTAGTATCCATTACGTACTGCACCTTCTGCACATCAATGTGCACATCAGGGACATCTGCGTGTTTCTGGCACCCGTCTTCAGCGGACTCACCGCGATCTCGACTTACTTGTTGACCAAGGAGCTGTGGTCCGTCGGTGCAGGCCTGTTCGCCGCCTGTTTCATCGCCATCGTGCCTGGCTACATCAGCCGTTCCGTCGCAGGAAGCTATGACAATGAAGGCATTGCGATTTTCGCGTTGCAGTTCACCTATTATCTGTGGATCAAATCCGTGAAGACTGGATCTGTGTTCTGGGCGGTCATGACTTCCCTTTCTTATTTCTACATGGTGTCCGCGTGGGGCGGTTACGTTTTCATCATCAATTTGATCCCACTGCACGTGTTTGTGCTGCTCCTGATGGGACGCTTCTCCAACAAGTTGTTCACTTCTTACACGACGTTCTACATCTTGGGCTTGATCATGAGCATGCAGATCCCGTTCGTAGGTTTCCAGCCTATACGCACCAGCGAGCACATGGCCGCCTCCGGAGTCTTCGCTCTGATCATCGCCGTGGCAACGTTGAAGTACTTGCAGAGCATGTTATCAAAATCCGAATTTAAATCCTTGTTCATCTTTGGTGGAATGATCGCTGCCTCGGTCGTTTTCTTGACTGTCGTTATCTTGACTTATGCCGGTTACATTGCGCCGTGGTCAGGAAGGTTCTACTCGCTCTGGGATACGGGATACGCAAAAATTCACATTCCTATCATCGCCTCCGTATCCGAGCATCAGCCGACAACGTGGTTCTCGTTCTTCTTCGATTTGCACGTCTTGGTGGCAACTTTCCCAGCCGGTCTTTGGTACTGCATCAGAAACATCAACGATGAAAGGGTGTTTGGTAAGTCTCCAGTATTTTCATATATATTACATGCAAATATTAATAATGATACATTAATTCCTGCAGTTGTCCTGTACGCTTTGAGTGCCGTTTACTTTGCTGGCGTTATGGTGCGTTTGATGTTAACTTTGACCCCAGTTGTTTGCATGCTCGGCGGCATCGCCTTCTCTGCGCTTCTCAACAACTACTTGAGAGAGGACGGCAATCCTTCGAGCATCGACGAAAGCGAGAAGGAAGACAAGAGATTGTACGATAAGGTATGTCTTTTTATTTCATTTGCAATTGTTGCAATTTAACGTGTATCTTCAATTTTCAGGCTGGTCGCATCGGAGTACCGAGAGTTCCGAAGCACGAACAGAATGAATCCGATCCAATTGGCCCGAACCTGCGTAGCATAGTTATTGTCGTCGTTATGGTTCTCTTGATGCTCTTCGCCGTCCATTGCACCTGGGTAACCAGCAACGCATATTCTAGTCCATCCATTGTTTTGGCGTCGTACAGCGGCGATGGCACGAGGCAGATTTTGGACGATTTCAGGGAAGCCTATTTCTGGCTGTCCCAGAACACCGCCGATGAAGCTAGAGTCATGAGTTGGTCAGTATATATATATAAATATTTCATTGATGTTTCGGTGATTTTCTAATGAAGAAATGTTGATTAGGTGGGATTACGGTTATCAAATAGCAGGAATGGCAAATCGAACGACGCTAGTAGACAATAATACGTGGAATAACAGTCACATTGCTCTCGTCGGAAAGGCCATGTCTTCGAATGAGAGCGCCGCTTACGAAATTATGACTGCCTTGGACGTGGACTACGTCTTGGTCATCTTCGGTGGAGTCATCGGATATTCCGGTGATGACATCAATAAGTTCTTGTGGATGGTTCGAATTGCCGAAGGCGAACATCCAAAAGACATTCGCGTAAGTTGTTAAAATATTATGTTTAACATACATTATGATATTAACAAAAAAATGTTTGCATATTTTCCAGGAAAGTGATTACTTCACTGAACATGGCGAGTTCCGTGTGGACGCCGAGGGTTCCCCGACTTTGTTAAACTGTTTGATGTACAAATTAAGTTACTACCGATTCGGCGAATTGAAATTGGACTATCGCAGTCCAGCCGGTTTCGACCGAACCAGAAACGCTGTGATTGGAAATCGCGATTTCCAACTAACTTACTTAGAGGAAGCCTACACCACCGAGCATTGGCTTGTCCGGATTTACAGAGTCAAGAAACCAGATGAGTTCAATCGGCCCAGAATTCCTGTAGCCAACAGAGTCGTCAAGTCCGGAAACTTCGCCTCTAAAAAGGTAGTAAACATGTTTGTGTGCCTTCATTGCGATAATAATAATCCAACGATTTGCTTATTTTTTTTTCAGAATTCGAAACGTAGGAAAGGAACGATAAGGAACAAACCGGTCGTGGTGAAAGGTAAAAGGCCAATGAAGTAATAACGATAGTTCAATTTTTTTTTATGTAAAACGTTAGAGGAGATTGACTGAGCCACATTTCACATTTATTTTTCCCTTCGATCGATTGAAATTTAGTCTCTTTCTTTCAAATCTCTTTTCACTTATCGATTTCTTCTTTGACTTCTACACACGTGCAACACATGTTCTTTTTTATTTTCGTCCTCCTTTATTATTATTTCTTTCAAGTATGTCAAGTTTCGTTGGAATAAACTGAATTGTTTGTTAACTTGTGTGTCTATTTTTTACTTTCTGAGTTAGTTTGTTTTTTTTTTATATAAATATTGTCATTGTGATAATAAAATACTAATGATGTTGTAAAATAAGAATAAAGTTTTGCACTTTATACAGTTTTTATTCCATGCATTTCCTGGCATTATCTAACAGAAAATCGAATGTTTGGCGCAATTTCGGAGCGAAATTGCGCAATCGGTTGCAAACCCTCTATATCATAATATGCAACCTCAAGTGCAGGCATGTTGGAAAACGAGATATATTTGAATAAAATCTGAATATGTGGCAGGCGAAAAATGTAGTGAAAGTATAGTTTCATTGATCAAGGTAAGGCTATTTTTTTGATTTCGACGTTGACATTGCTCCTTTCTATAACACGTATATACCGAAACAGACAATAAACTTGTTCAGTCCACTGACAATGGTGGGCAATACAGGTGTAAGTGCAAATTGCTATCTATTTATATCAGAGTTTCATCAATCACAATTGTATTTCGAATTTTACCTCATTCATCTAATTCATTCTATTCACATGTGGTTCAAAAGCTGTTTGTGTTTGCAGTCTCCCCCCGGCAGGGAGTTCCTCTATGATGCCAACCTCCTGAAGGAGCTCGACTGGAGTTCAGTGAAGGATTTCACGAAGCCCAGCATAAGCAACGTTCAACCTGGAGAGGATTGGCTTCTGGTCAGGCCACTCAAGATCGAAGACTATGACCATGGCTTCTTGAAATTGCTCTCCCAACTTACCAAAGTTGGGTCTGTGACCAAGGAGGAATTCATTCGTAAGTAACAGCTGTTCATCTTTATTATTTTGGAGTAATTAGAAGAAAAATATAGCGAAAATTGGGCAACAGTTTTAAAAACTTGTTTATATATTCATTGATATTTAGGGATTATATGATATATAGATATGAATTCAATTGACAGATAAAATTTAGATATGAATTCTAAGAAAAATAATCTATCAATATAAATCTGGAAATTAATAAAACTACAGGATAATAGAGAATATTTTTGTTTGATAAAATATTTTGAAATATATATTTGTCATAGTTATTATTGAAGAAATGTACTTAATTAGATATTTATTGTAATTCAAGTTACTGGGAAAGTCAACCTTGGATTATGATATTAATGTGATTTCTATTAAATGGATATTTCATCACTTTTTGATTGATGAATTGATGATTTGCTTCTGGTTTTAGGTCAGTTCTATGCTATGAAGAGCGCCGGAGGCTACTACGTAACGGTCATTGAGGATACGAGAGACCATTCAATTATAGGTTCCTCGACCTTGATCACCGAGTTTAAGTTCATCCACGAGTGCAGTCTGCGAGCGCGCTTGGAAGATGTCGTTGTCAATAACACCTACAGGGGCAAGCAGCTCGGCAAATTGTAAGAAAACTATCCATCACTGCAAAATCAGAAAATAGGACGAAAACCAACAAAGATTTGTGGTAGCTGTTAAAGCCGAAAGGGGTAGTAAATCACCTTTTATCATTGCAGAATTGTTCTTACTGTGTCGCTCTTGGCGAAACGTCTGGGTTGCTACAAGATGTCTTTGGATTGCAAGGATAACTTAATCCCGTTCTACAAGAGCATCGGCTACAGAATGGAACCGGGCAATGCCAATTCGATGACTATTCGTTACGACGAAACGCCACCGGCGACAGCCCCATCCTGACAATTAGCAGCCAATGCATCGAACACCAAATCCAAACTATAAATAACTTATACTATATAGACAATAACATCCCTTTTGCCGCACCTCCATAAATAAAGTAATCATAAGAAAATACATGCGCGAGATTAAACTGTTGAGATTAAATTTGGCTGTTTAGAAGGTGATGAGGCAAAAGGTCTATACAGTATTCATCAATCGCCGAAACATAATGTACTTATTTGCCTTAAGTTCGTTCTTGTCTTGTGCTGTTTATAGTTTTATTTTACGTGTTTTATGCATTGGCTGAAGCCGGGCGCTTCGGAAACGCCACACCAACATCAAATCTATCGATCCACTTAACAATAAATGTATTGAAAGTGTTTATTATTTATATGTTTTGTTTGCTCTCTGACCCAATCGTTTCCAGATCGCTTATTCGAATAATACTTGTATGTTTCACATTAAGCCAGTTCGTACAAAACATGAAATAAATCCTTGAAAGAAAGAAAGGGAAGCTGAGAATTTGGTACGCTAACAATTAGTAAAACAACGTAAAAATGCAGAATACATTTTCAGATGTTCCCAAATTTCTAGACCCATCAAATTACTAGTCAACTGAATCAATATCAGATGGTATGGACCAGCGTTTTCCAAACTGTGAGGCGCGCCTCCCCAGGGAGGCAGTGAGTAGCTAAAGTATAGATACATTCCTGTGCTCTTATCCATATTGCTGTAATACGCAGTCAAAGTTGAAAAATTGAAATTAGAACGTTCGAAAAAGCAGTGTTTTCACATTTCATTGATTTACTTGGAAAACTATAATAGATAGAATGAACCCAAAAGATGCATATTATAGCTGAATGTTTGGGGAATCTA